TCAAGGTAGTAGACCAGGAAGGCACCTGATCCTCAATAATAGATTTGCTTTGGGGTTCTCAATTGTGAAAAGTTTTTCCACTGGAAAAAACTGCTCACAGAATCTTCCTTTACTTAGGAAGCCATGGAAGCTGAGGAAGAAGCTGAAAGCTTGGGGCTTCTCTTGAGCTGAAGATCTGAGGCTGCAAAGCAAAAGGATTGCTGAGAACAATTACAAAGCACCTGAGAAAGGAAGCTGAATACTAATTACAATCAATTACAAAAGGAATCCTCACAGGAATCCAGATTTGTTTTGGGGGTAGTTTATTATAGAGGAACCTCATTTGTTTGAGAGGGGGGGGCCCTTTACTAATCAGGATCCAACATTAGCTGTGTTAAGAGCAGTGGGGCTTGCCTCTACCTCCTATGCCACAAGGGATCACTTGTACAAATCGTATTCAAACAAAAAATAGGTGTTAGGCCTGCCAAAACAAACTTGGCACCCACCTTAGTAGACGAAAACCCTCTTCCGAAACCACCCGAGCTCTGCAAGAATGATTGAACCTATGTCGTACAACTTTCATACACTCCTGGCGCTTGACATACGCGACCACAATGTGAGCTTACGCGAAGTAAGGAGGTCCCTGAAGACTTTACGTGCATCACTACCATACTCCCAAAGGAAACGCTTCGGCTCTTCGGTTCTTTTTTTCAGATGAAAGCTGGCGACAGACATGATCGAGATGATTCCGAAGCAGAGGAGACCAATGATGAAGACGATGAAAATGCAGTAGCAAGGGCATCGCTACTAGCAGCTATATAGAAGCTAATAATTCAGCTAATAGCAACAATGATGACGACGATGAAAATGCAAAGGATGAAAAGTGCAGCTTTCACATTTTTGAGTTGGCCCAGCAGCTTTTCAACTCTTCAGCGTGGTGGTTTGAGGCCTTTTTGTTTTTTTTTGGCTGCTTGTTGGCCAAAAATTAATAAAAGTTTATCCTCAATGGACCTTTTGGGGTGTGGCATTGACTTGCTTGTGAATGATTTCTGGGTTGCTATGTTGACTTTGAGGATCATCCGCTCCATCGAGATAAACCCCCCCAAAGTATAAAAAAAACACCCAGGTCACCAACCCGTCGAAGCTGACCCATCTCGCCCATGCGACCTGGTCTGATGGTCAAACCTCCACAGTCGATGCCTTGATGGTCGTCCTCCGACGTCCGTAGATCGAGATGTCTCGTCGTGAACCCGTCGTTTCCGTCGTGAAACGAAGGACCGTGGACCACCTCTCCTGAGTGTAACATGAACTCGCCCTTCTCAATGGCCTTTTGCTTTGTGTCTTCATCCAAGTTTGGCACCTGGTAGACCTCATGATTCAAGATGTAGTGAATCCATGCGAATCCGGTGGCTTTTTGAACAACTGCGCACAATAAGAAGTAAAGCCATGAAACGAGAAAGATTGGCCGAAAAGGAACTCAGCTCAGCTCTTGACCAATTCACCATTAAGCACTTCATTCAACGTTGGACTCTTGAAGGAATGCTCCAGCCCTCTTGACACATGTGGCCCACATGTGGCCCACGTGTGGACCATGCTGGACGTGCGAAAGACCTTAATGGACCTCTTCTTCTGCCAGGTGTCATAAAGCTTGGTATCACCGTTGACTTCTCCAATGACCTCAGTTCTCCCCACACAAGACCAGAGCCGCCCTCACAGGCATTCGGTCAAATGGTTGAAAAAAAAAAGGGACCATCTCCAATTGCCAGCGTTGAACATGTTGAAACTATCCAGCTCGGATCAACCAACTCCATGTGCCGCGTGGTGTCCCACGCGACACCTCGTGACATCGGGACCACCGACTTCGCAGCGCGGGCGTCCCACGCGTCGACCCGGCTGCGTCCGGGGGACAAAGTCGGTATCATAGCAATCGCTCTTGCCGTGCCGCACCTCGGGGACCGAGGCAGGTCCCATCTGGAACTTGCCACCCGACATCTCCTGCGGCGTAGCGTCCAAGGCCTGGCTGTGGAACATCAGGTTCAGTCAGGCCGAGTGCTGTGAGAACAGCTGTGAGAAGTCATCTTCAGAGGAAAAAACGGGTTGAAAGAAAAAAGAAAGTTTCAGAACCTGCCTGCCATTCCTGCCCATTCCCACGTGCATAGTACATCTCATTCCAGACGTGGAAAGACCAGATGCTGTCCTCCCGACCTTGAGTGCCAAAAACCACGGAAGGGACTAAGAATATTGTTATTCGGTAGAGCTGATTCGTTTCCAGCCCTTCGACATACAAACCTTCATTCAAAGACACACATTCATGTGTCCAAACCATGGCCTGATGACAGTCCCTTTTTGCTATGACGTCATACATACCATCTTCGCGGGAGTTTGTCCAGTTTTCGTTTCAACCTAATGGAACCTTCTCCGCCCTTGTTGAAGAGGCACTAAAATCGAGAAGTGTAAAAGTCGCAACTGCTTGTAGAATTCGGATGACACGAAGTGTGGGATTGGGCGGCGGAAACATCATCTGCATCAGGGATAGGGCGGCAGGTGTGTTCTTTTACAAACGTGGTTCACTAGGTATTTCACTTAATTTTAGGAGATAAACCAACCATAGACTGAAGGATTGAAACTTCATAAGTGGTGGAGGTGGCGGTGGTGGTGGTCGTGGTGGTGGTTAGAGTCACGAAAAGTTGCTTTGACAATGTGTGACCAGACAGCACTCAAGAGCCCAAAGTCACATTGTCTCTTTTTGCGGGTTTCAATCTCACTGATCAGCCGAACATGAATAGTTTTGGTGTGTTTTAGTCCCAAGAATCCCTCAGAAGGACTGTTGCGACGTCATATCTGCTCTATTACTGTGTTTGCCCAGGCGGTCACCCTTTTGCGGTGCAAACCCTCAGCTTGGGCGCGGCCACAAAGATCCGCTCTGAAGTACTGCGCACCTCCAACCTACTAGCGATGGCCTCCAACCTAGTAGCTTCTTGTTACCAGTAGCTTCTAGCACCTAGTAGTAATGGCCTCCAACCTAATAGCTTCAGTTACTAGTCGATGTTTCATGGGTCCACAGTCTCAAGAGTCAAGAGTCATGTTCAAGAGTCATCCTGAGGGAAAAGACTTGTCTGGGAAGCCTCTTGCCTGGAGGCAACTGTCACTATCACGCCAGTCCCTAAAGGCCATCGGCTTCGGTTGGATCCAGGGTGGCTTGGATCTGCAGCTCTTTTTGTGGGCGATGTACTGACGATAGCTCGTGGTCCCAGGAAATTGAATTGCAACATACAGTAATAGGGCGGTCCATCAAAACTTGATCCCTAGACTCCAAGAATTTTGTGTGATTCTTGCAGCTCCAGCAGCTTTCGCATGGCACACAAGGAATGCATGCCTTGCAGCGGCCAGTGAAGCCAACACCTCTGCGCAACCTTGGAGCAGAACTGTTGCACTTTGCTTTGTGCAACTCATCCAAAGTAGGGCAGCTCATGCCACACTTCTCATGTCTACATGCCTGGCAATATTTACGTGCATACTACCCTTTCAACTGGGGCATCAGTATGAATATTGTATGTATACTGTATACAGCTGTTTAATGCTGTTTACCTGGACTGCACTGGACTGTTTGCCCACTGGATCGTCGTCTGCATATCTGGCAGCTCTTTTTGTGACCCGGCCGGTCAGACGCTATCGACCTGGATCAGCTGATGAACAGCACAAGTGAGGATCATCCAACTTCAACCTCCATGTGGTTCCACTGTTTTTTTTGCGGAGTGCCTTGCACCCCACACACGTTCCAAATCCCAAACACTGCCAAAAACATCTTCAAGCGGAGTGACGCTGAAGAGCAGCGTTTGAGGTTGCACTTCTTCTTCTTGGCCTTCTTGGCGCTTTCGCACCAGGCAGGGCACAAAGTATCTGAGAATTCCACCTGCAAACTGCTCTGGCATCATTCGACGCCTGCTGAGCGTCGACCCCCCCGAGTCGAAGGAATTCGAGTCTGGGCGGGCTCTCGAGCGAAGACATCGGCTCTCGGCGAACGCGATCAACCGCACATTCTGCGGAACGTGTGAACTCACGCGTGAACGTGTCATCGATCTTCAAACGCCTGTTCTCATGAAACCATCCGGGGTTGCTCTCCAATATTCCCCGCCAGCTGGAATTGCCCGAGGAAGTTGAGCCACTGAGGCGAAATTGTACGGGGGGAAGTTTGAGGATCTCATGCTTGGAGACTAATCAGGGCCTAAATAGGGTCTTGCGCGCCCATCAGGCAGGCGGAGCTTTCTAGACCATGCCGCATGCCTCTCTTTAAATGTCTAGTTTCCCTGATCAACAGAAAAATGAAAGCACCACATAGGCCGGCACCGACCACTTGATGGAGTTGTGTCCCGGCCGGCACACTCTCCAGTCTCTCGGAGTTCCCCCGATCCAGGAACCAGAAATGACCAGAACACAAAATTAGATCCAAACAGGTACCCCAAGTGATGCCTTCAGCTGGTCCACTTGACCGTCCACATCTGCTTCGAAGGAGCCGATCGTACTGCCCAGGCACCGGTTCCCAAACGCCCGTTGGAGTCGTGAAGAAGAACTTGGAGACGCCCCGATCGGAGTTCACGTCGTGCGCGGATTGGAAGTTGGTGACGGAACGCGTGGCGATGCCCAAGGTTCGACCAATGGTCGTGAGGACACCAGAGAACACCTTCAGCACGGAACGCTTTTTCTTCTGCTCACGAGATTTTTGTTCGTTGGTCGGTGTGGGTATGTGTGGGTATCTGCGCCAATGGAAGCAGGGAGTGGCTGGAGAAGACCAGGACGCCCCGTCACGTACGTCACGGGAAACTACTATACACGGCCTTCCTCATTTGACCGAGCATCAAAGCATTGGCAGTATTGAACGGCTGATGGCACACCGGATTGCACCAAGCCCCAATGCTTCTCCAGGATCGGTGAAGATGAAGTCCAAGATGTCGGGTCATGACCTCATTGGGCCCCGTTCCAGGCAGTGGGTGTCTGTGAGGAAAAAGAATGGTATACTGCCCGCTTCCACGTACGTCAATTGGTGCACTCTGAAACAAAAGCACCCCTCCTACTACGCATAAACTGGTGGGTCCAGATTCAATTACGTCTTACGTTACTAACGACATCTGCTCTTCCTGAGTGCCTCTTAGTTTGCTGGAGGGAATATGACAATACGTCTTATATAGAGGTTTGAGATCTGAACTGCAAGAGGAGCCTGCCTGCTACCGTCTCAAAGGAATTCCCATCTGAACCTGTACCTTGGTCGAAGGAAGAAGTTGCCAGTTAGGATTCCTCCACTTTGGCATGTGGGTTTTGACATCAAGCTCTTCCCTGTGCGTTCCAAATTCCCAGACACTCCATGAGACTGCCATATATATGCCTATATATATGGTGGTTGACTGGGGGTCTTTCTGGGGCGGCAGTGCAGTCCCAGACACGTCGATCTCCAGACGACCGAGACACCGATCCCACGGATGCGTGGGGATCCCGCCGTCTGACAGTGGCGGCACGTGACACACGCCCGGCCCGACCCCCGAAAGGTCACGTGACCGGGGGAGTCCGCTATGACCGGGGGCGGCGGCCTTCGATGTTGCGTGCCGTCAGCAGAGTTGCCATTCTGTGCCAAGGGACATGTATGCGCCCACTTCTCTGCACGACCTCGCCCAAATGCCGGAGGTCGTGTATGTGGGGGAGTGGACGAGGAGTGGATGTGGGAAACTTCCCTTGGCTTGGATGTCCAAATGAATCGTACATAGCTTTGTTTGCCAAAGCAATATCCAAAGAAAGCAATATACACCATCAGACTGCGTGACCATGAAAAAGAAAGGACGTTTCTGCAACCTATTATTTGCAGGGGCATTCTCAAAAAAAATGATTTTTGACTCTTCTCAAAAGTCAATGTTTGCTAAGAAAGTGTCACGTTTGTTTAAAGACGGTCTTGCCCTTTCCCTTTTCCTTTGCCTGCTTCCCTGATGGCATCTTCGTGGCTGGAGGCCATATATATATATACATACGTTTTGGAGGCCATCACTATTAGGTTGGAGACCATTGCTGTTAGAAACAAAGAAGCAAGAAAAGGAAGAGTTTGGTCTGCAGTGCCATGCAGAACTTGAAGAGTTACATACGATCAGGGCCGCTTCTGTTCTGAGTTCTACATTGGCCCGAGTGGATGCCTCTCCGGCGCGGTGGGCCCTCCATGACAAAGAGTTGTCCGATGGAACATGCCCTTTCGCGAGACGAAGGCAAGGCAAATCATCCTTCTTCCGAATCGAAAACGGAAAGAAAACCCAACTGAGCAGGTTCCTCACTGAGCTTCCAGACGCTTGACGTATTTTTTCGATCTGCACTTGTAGCCCCAATCAGGTTTGCCACCAGCATAGTCTCCTTCACCCCATTTCCCAAAGCAAACCTGGCCGCGGTCCAAAGCGAACTTGGTCCGCGACTGCAACCGAACACCTGCAGTCTCCCCCTCGATCATCCTCAAACCCCCAGGCATAGGGGCGTAGACTTTCAAAAGAACAAGGTCAGATTCTACTTAAAAGAATGCACAGCTATAGTTCCATGTACTACAGTATGTATCTGAAACCACCTGAAACCCTTGTCGCGGTCACGTGTCATCAACAAGTGGAAGCAGCTCTGACAATTTTCAGGCCCCAACAGGTTCTAGTTCTAGCAGACCCTGAATTGGATATTCCCCCAAAAAGCATGCAGTCTAATTGAAAAAAGTCGGGTTGCTAGATGTTGCTAGGTCTGATTCCTTCAATGTGTCAATGGTCTACCTAGCGTGCCTAGATAGCCTATAAAGCAAAGGCGATTGGCAGGATCCTTAGGTCAAAGGAAAAGACATAGAGAACTGGGTAAACTGCGATGGGCTCTCAATTAAAGTTTAATCATATTCACTGACAGATTGGGAGCTTGTCTTGCGGCCTCATGATCTACTCATGATCTACATTCAGTTCTTCTATGCTTGCTTACAACTGGTCCTGCATGCACCTGAAGAACCACGAATGAAAACATACATCGTCCCGCATCGGCCAGTCCGGCCAGAACCGGTGACACCGTGACGTTTCGGGGCACCGGTGGACCTTGTCGCCCACGGCATTCGTGAGGTACCGTGTGACCGCCGTCAAGTCGCCCCGGAGCATCATGGGCAGCCAATCCAGGAGCCTTGGCACTTGGCACCGGAACCAACTTGGCTCCCTGTCTTGCACATAGGATGTTTAAGGGCAACTAAATGATACGGAATCATACGGTATCTATCTTTGGAACCACTGGTGACATCTGGTGACCTACGCAATGGCCATGTTGAAGCTTTTTATCAATTTATATCAAGTCATCCATTTGCTACCCCCCAGAAACCCAAAAAAGAAAACCAATATAAACCAATCAATCAATCAGGTCTCGGTGATTCGGTCCCTCGATCAAAACTCGATCGATACGAACGGAACATCGGAACCGAGAAGCTTCAGGGCAATGAGCAAATTAGCGGCTCGGAAGGGCTCGTGGTACCAATGGTTGGCCTCACCGCGCGTGAAGCAGCTCCGCGCGCGCGCGCTATAACGCTCCGCGCGCGGCCCGGAGCAAGAGGCAGTAGACCGTCATACGGAGAAAAGCGTTCCACTCGATTCGTTCCAGAAAGACACTGAACTCGGGGATACCATGGGTCGAAGCATACTAGTCGCGTCTTTCAAACATTTTCAAACACAGTTTGTGGGCTCAGGTTGCTATGTGCGTTTAAGAAAAAGTATACAGATGAATGTGCATGATTCTGTCAGAGTCGTGCCACAAGCCTCTCAAAAAAGGATGCATCTATCTGGAATCGACCGGAATTCGTAAGTATCTGGAAAAACGCAAAGGAATCTTGTCAATGTCGCCTTTCCATCTAGCTGCCAGCTGCTCGACCGTTGGGGGTCTCTTCAACTTGAGCCGTTTCAAGTTCTGGGTCACAGATTCGGCCGGATGATATTCAACCCACATGGCCTGCTCTGCTGCCCAGGTGCCGTGTAATGATCTGAGAGGCCCTGGAAGAGTAAACCTTCATTGCCATCTAAATACCTGGGATGGCAAAACCATGCAAAACTTGCGATGTTTGAACGTTTGAACACGTTTTGGCAAGTTCTGTGTTATCAAACAATTGATGCCTTTTCTGTCATACCCTTGTGCTCAGAACTGGTGCCCATCACCACAAAACTGGATGGGCTGGTGGCGTCATGGGAATCATTGGTTCCGGATACGGTGTTCTGGGTGTGTCGGAGTCGTCGGTGATGCCGCTGCTCCAAACAATATGCTGCTGACCAAATGGTCTGTCATGTTCAAGCCTTCTGGGAGATGATCATCACGCTAATCGCTCAACAAAACAGACTCCAAACGCTTGAGATGTGTAACCGCATGCAGACTCAAACACTCAATGAAGGGACAACAGCAACCAAGGCTTGGCAAAGGTCCGAAATCCAGTTTGGAGACAAAAACACGTGAATAAAGAAAATCACAGTTGGACCCAGTTGCTCCTGGTGCTGATCTGAGTACTCTGGGCAAGAGGGACAGCTGAAGGGGTTGAAGATCACGATGAAGCCAAAGGTGGCCTCTGGTTGCCCACGGCGCCGTGCAAAAAAAAGCAATCAATTTATAAGGATGATAGGATGGGTCACCCTAAACGCCCTCTTCGTGGGTCCCTCCTTTCTCACCCTCGCCACAGTGCCACACCGAACGGGCGGACCTCTCTGTATCCGACCACACTTTGGAAGCTGACAGGGCGACTCGGTCGCAGAGATTGCCTTCCACTGTATAAAAAGCGACGATGCCATTGGTGCTAGTAGCGATGCCCTTGTTACGTTGCCCTAGCTGCGACCAAGCTGCCAGGGTAGCGTCCTTCGAGTCGAGAGCTAGCACCTCATACTCCCCGACGGGTGCCCAAGCAGGAATCTCCACATGGATTTCACCTCCTCGAAGCTCTGCTTTGCCCATCTGACCGCCCTGCAAGAGTCGAACATCAGCTGACTTCCTCAGTGCAGGAGCGATGGTCATCCTAGTCCCCGCTTAAGAAATGCATCTAATCATATTATACCATTATAATTTATAGTCCATTACATATATTACCATACGACATTATATAACAACATAGAATCAACACAACAATGAAATAAATATATAATTGGTGACTGTATGTGACTGTATACTCTGACGAAAACTAACATGGGGGGTTCCACTTCCAGGTTGGTGAGTCGGAGTGTATAATTAACATGAACCTGAAGGAAATAGCGAACAAATGCGACAACCATTGATCGACACATAACCCAGACAATCCCTGCTACTCCCTACAGAGACCCTGTTTTTATATGTTTTATATGTGTCTTTTCCGGCAAACAGCTCATCTGGAAGGTCTGGCAGGTCTGGCCCTACTTCTTCCCGTGCCTCTCCGACTTCGGCCCAGCTGCGTCGCAGACAGCTGCAGCTGGAGTCGAAAGCTCTGCCCGCGCCGGACCACGGGCCGTCCATTCAGGCGAGGCGGTGTGGCCCGGGGATCCACGGGAGGCAGGTCCTGGGATCCCAAGCATCTACGAAAGGAAAATCATTCAAGCGTCCTTGTTCCGTTTGTAGCGATGCCAGGAGCCCCGGCTTGTAGCTTCCTGTTCCTAGTAAGGCCAGGAGCCCCGGCTCGTAGCGTCCGATCGCTCCGAGTAGAGGTGAAATGGTCTGTCGACGCTTTTGGGATCATGATGGGGCAGGACATCCATGGTGAAGTTTCTGTTGGGCAACCAAGTCTTGGGATTCGAGTGGTGACTCGAGTCCCGGATTTGTTCAGGAATGCAGCACAGTCACCAAGCCAAACACCGTCCGGTCCAAAGTGGGTTAAAGGTAGGACCGGTCGGATGTGCAGTGAACTGTTCATCGTCAAACAAGACAGGCCGGGAGGATTTCAGAAAGTCGGTTTGATCAGTCCTTGTAGCGATCACAGAGCTTGTGCTTGGACCGGAAGTCATCATCCATGATGAGAGAGATGTCTGGCAAAGCCTCCACGGGTCGTGAGGAAAGCAAGAATGTCTGCCCACCTATATGGAGTTCGTTCTTTTGTGCCCAAAGGGTCGAGCTGGGCGGGCTCCTTCTGAAACTCGAAACGAAAGATCTGCTGATGCACCACACCGTACGAGCATTGATGCACCACCGATCGTACTGATCACAAGTTTGTATTTGGCTCTTCTGACCATCAGAAAGGGCAAACCTCAACTATAGTCATTAAGGTGGCTTGAGTTTGCTTTCGATCTAGCAGTTTGCTTCAACATGTTCTGGCCAACAGTCAAATCAGCGGCTTCGGTTTCTTTGCTCATTCCCCAATTGAAATCTGTTATTGGCCACTCATCTAAAGTTTCCGCTCCCACGCATCAGCTTTCAGCTCGTATACGGGTTATCCGGCAGCTTTCTTTCTTACGTCCTATGTCATCCTCAGGTCTCTATCTTCTACTAAAGATGTGTAGAATGCCTCCCACATCAGCCACGGTTTTTTCGCTCCCAAACGCTCCTCCTGCGGCTCCACCGGCTCCTCCTCCTCTTCAGAGTCATCGATCTCTTCCACTTGCCCAGGCTTGTACCACCACGTCTTCCCATCACCCTTGCGGCCATCGCCACAGCGGCGGCGCACCTTCACTTTGGAACTGGAAGAGATTTGGATCACTTCCTCAGTGCGTCGGATCCGGAAAGAAATGTCCCGGAGGAACGGAGTCTAGGATGCTTGATGCGAGATGCAACCCATATGTCTGTAAAAAGAACGTTAACATGTTGAATGTCTGCTATATATATATTATATGTTTGCTAGCCCCCAAAGATCTACCATGTTTGCCTCTCGCATACATGTCTGAGTCAATGTCATAGATAGATCTACAAGAAGTAGAGAACATGCAGAGAGTTGAGATGATTTCTTTTTGGGCGTCATATTTTTCTTAAAAGCCAGAAGATAGGAGCCAAAAACAAGGTTGTTTGATGCAAAAAAAAGGGAAAGAGAATAATATATTTGTTGATTTTGTCCTTTAAAAATATGTCGAGGGAGCCTTCAAAGAGCTCGTATTAAACAAAAATCAGCCTTTACACCTATTTTGCTTTTTTCACTGTCAGCTTTCAAAATATACATGCGACAGACTTTCCTAAGAGTCGTATACGCAAGAGAACTTTCAAAAGGAAAAATGCAGAAGACACACCGAAGTTATCGTAAACAAAGTCATCAATATGATAGTATTATATGTTTAGAAATATTAAAACAGTTTGGTGATGACAAAAAAGACCGTTTGAATTGGTTGAAGGACTTGCAGTTACGATGACTACAAACAAAACAAAACATACAGCATCATACAGCAGTTTGATGCCACTACAAACAGGTTGCGACAGGCCAAAGAGTCGAGGATCCCAAATTGCTCCCATTGCTAGCTATTAGCTGCTATAGTTGTTCTTTCTGTCCTGAATTCTTCTTCTGCACCATGCAATTACTGAACAGTGTCCAACCGAGAGACACCCTGGCAGGACTTGTACTTCCCCGTCTGGATCAAAACCATGTCACCCACGGCAAATGACTCATCATCTGCTTCTAAATCTGCACCTCCACTTCCCATTCGCACAGCGACACCAGAGGTCACAAGCATCCACACGATGAGCAAAGCGCGCACCATTGCAAGAGCGCACCAAAACGAACGTATTTTGCCTTCAACGTTGGAACTTCAAATGGCCTCTATAATGGCTGCGGCAGGTGGCTGCGCTTCACATGCACAAGGAATTAAGCTCAATGACAATGACCTTGTGATCGAAGTCTTTGAATCCACAAAAAAACACAGACTCGAGACAAGCTTTGAAATCTCTTCTAAGGGGAGCCCTTCATATCCGCATTCTCGAGGCCATCAGAAAACAGCAAAGGGGATCAATTGTGGGCTGCTCGATGAAGGGGGGAAGTGGATGAACATCGAGCTAGGCAGGAGGTGTCCTCTGTCAGGGATCATCTACCACTTAGCTGCCAGAAACATCCAAACATCACATTTCTGCTTGTTGGTCCTGGTTTGTATGTCAAGTTCCATGAAAAGGTGGAGATTGTGCGATCTATGAGAGAGGCCAAAAAAATGCGGTTTCCCCTTCCCATGGGCCTGCATGGAAATGTCCGAGTCGTCAACTTGACAGTGGTTAAGGACTAAGGTCTTGGAAGTGGTCTTGGACTATCTGTGACGACTTGACAGTGGTAAGCTTAAAATACAAGGCCTTTCCAGGTCTTGGACTTGATGTCGATTTGATGCCACTCATTTTTATGCAATGTACATCGATAGAAGTGGTCTGTTGGTCTGTTGATCAGTGTACATTGTACATCGGTAACATGTTCGCAGTAAGCGCTGCATGTAAGTGCTTTAGATTCCGATAGAAGTTCAATCAACGCTCAGTGAACATCCAGCTCAGTTCTTGAAAAAAAAACAACAAAACTGGGCTCATGTTTCCCAAAAGCTGCGGCATAGCTGAAAAAAAGAACCAGCTATGAACACCGCGGCTCAACCGTTGAGCCTTCTTCACTCGCGACCAACGGCGACAGGCGACCGGCCGGCCGATCGACACCTTGAGCTCCGTGGCCGCCGTCGACATGGAGCTCTCGGACTTGAACTTGGAGCGGCTGCGGCCTGGACGCCGACGGATCCACATGCGGCTGCTTTGTAGGTGTTCTAGGTATATATATATAACATGTTTTGGTGTTGTATATACAAATAGATTGATAGTATGAGTATTATGTGTTTTCTTGTTATATTATATGCAAACAGTATATTTATATATAGTATATTGTACATTAATATATATATATATACATTCATGAATAACATGATACAAAAAATGCTTGTCCGTGTTGGTACATCTGTTTCAGCAAGTCTCTTTTTGGGTCGCCCCGTTTCCGGCGCCCGTGGCGCCAGTGGCCCTCTTCACCAACGGCTGCAGGAACAATGGATTTCGAGACGTCCTAGTCATGATGGTAGAGCTGGTGTTTGAGGTCCGGGAGAAGAACTTAGACATTCAGGCTCCAGAATGGATCTGGGGATGGCTCTTGCCTTCCTAAAATAGACAGTCAAGCAAGATCAATCTGGACATACTCTCTGTAAACAGAATAAACCCCTCCATTATGGTCATCTGGACCTCACTCTTTTGCTCAGAAAATGGATGAAAAACTGACACATCGCTACTCTGACCGTGCAGCCTGTTTCATCTTTGCCAAGAGGAAGATCGTCTGACTTGGACTTGATGAAGTCTGAGCGTTCCGAACCAATCGGAAGCGCTAGTGGCGGTGTCGATACAAGTCTGACAACAGGGACTACTTGATACACAGGAGATGCAGATCATGGTCTCAGAAAGCTCTGGCAGGCCCTGAGACCAAGGGCACTGCAGAAGGTGAGGGAAACCCTACGTCATGGGTTCGATGTGCAAACTGCAAAGCCACAGCCATCAAATGCCCGTTTCCGGCTGCCAGTCATGGACTTGACATAACAGCCCCACATAGCCCCACCTGCAACGGATCCCTCCGCTGCTTTGTCTACCTGAGCTGTTGCCGGTTTCTTCAGCGTTCGCACCAGAAAACACCAGCCAGATGAGGCTCCCAGCTGAAAGGGGCATCGCTTCAGATCCCGTCCCGGTAATCCCTATGGCGCAATGAACAAGCCGGTCGAAATGAAAAAGAGGGAACCGTTGTCGGGTCCAAGCCTTGACGTCGTTCGAAACGGCTCTTTTACAAAAGGCCCAGACAAGTCCAGATCGAATCTGGATCATGGGTCGAAAGAGTTTGTTACTGCATCTACTGCCTGTGTAAAATGTCTGAATCCTGATGAAGTTCGACTCTCCCATTCGAAGAGTCGAGACTCTTGCAGTCTGGCAACCCCGAAAAAACGTTTGTGTAAACTCCACGTGCATAGCGAGTCGACGAGCCAACATGATTACGCAAACATGCCTTGCTCAGAGGAAAGCAACAGGAAGAAATTGGTGCCAGACTTTGAGTTGACTCCATCATCCAGCTTCATCAAGCTACCAAGTTGGGGGAAATGGCCCGACTCATAAAGGCTTGTGACCAGCTTCTCAACCCTGGCTCTTCCTGAAAACATACAACTTACAAAAAAGGAAGACATAACCCAATGCTGGATTCAGGTCCAGTGGTCTCCGATCGTCTCCGGCCTGCTCATCCTGCTCCTTCGCCTGTTCCTCCTCTTCCTCTTCATCGCCGGCCTGCATGGAAGGCTCTGCAAGAACAAGTGTCCCTAACTTCATGGTTCTCCCCCTGCTCACCACTTCACAGCTGAGCAGTCACTCTTCCGCATAGTAAAGATAGAGGGCAGGAAATGGGCCCATCAAGGACCCAAAACGACCCAATGGTGCAGTTTTTCGCTACGCTCCACATGTTTCATGCTGAGGAAGTGCACCGAATGCCCGGAGCAAACCCAAGCCACGTCTGTTTTATCCTGCTCGGAGCCAACATCCGATCGGGAATCGGGGTAGAAAGTCGACCATACTGTATGGTGACCATACAGTACCTGCCCATAGGAAAAGGCCCTGATGGTTGAAAACTAATCTCCCACGAGTGCAGAAGATTCTAGCTTTTCGCATGTGTGCCGTGTCCACAAAAAAGACGGTTTGGGGTGGTATGAAACTACAAGCTAGCTTCTAAAATCGACCTCCAAAACACGGGGAAGTGGGATGAAAAGGTCTGGCTCCGCAACAATTCGCTTAGATTGCTAGCCTGCACCACTGACCTAGACCTAGACCGGGCCGTAATGTAGCTTCAATTTGTTTCATCCATCCGATGTCCAGCATCAGTGGAATACGTCATCCGATGTTCAGCTGTATGGTCTTCGGTGCCTTGTTGTTGGCAATTCGCCAACTCCTTTGGATGATCTTGATCCGCGCGGAATAGTTTTTGCCTGCGAGGAGAAACCACAGGCCACTTCACAAGAGATGGCGGCTGATCAAGCAGGAGGTCAGAGGTTCTATCAATCGTGTAGTGCCTAGTTACACCCCTGTAGTCCCTAATTACATAAGGGACCCGACAGGAAAACAAGCGAGGCTTGGAAAAACCCTTTTCTGTTCCTTTCACTTTCCCGTCTCCATTGTTCAAACTTGAACTCGGACCGTGGCTGGAGGATGGCTAAAACTCCGTACGATTTGGTGAAATATCTGAACATTCACATGTCATCCACCACAAGAAAATGCCAGTCGCACCTAGTAATTTGCCATGGCATCTAGTAACGTTCACCTAGTAGAATCCATTTCTAGGGAATTATGTAAATGTGTCTGTCGTCTTTGGCACATCGGTAGACCCTCACACACCACTTCCAATGAACGGACACCCCCTGCACACCAATCCAAACTAGTTCAGTGAGGTTCGTTGTCCAAAAAGGGACCAGATCGGTGAACCAAGTCATCTCCATGCGACTGGCCATGCGATCGGGTCAGATCGGATGCCCTGTTGATCCTTTTTTCGATCATGAGTTGAAGGCTGAAGGCTCCCCTGTCGCCATTTGGTCTCATGGGCCAATTAATTTGACTGAAAGGTTTGTAAGAATTGTTGCACCATGTTGCACCATGCCCATCCCATCCACCATTGAAGTGTGTGGAAGGAACAGCTCCTGAACAGGATTACCGACACCCGGTGTTCTGCTGCTTAGGCGTCCAAACGGATGTAGATGTAACCTCCGCCACAATAGTTCAGGATGGCCTCCCAAGAGGATGACTTATGAGTAATTGGTGATCATTCTACCATAGCATACTATATGTTAGACTGTTAGACTGAAACATGGATTCAGGATTCAAGGTTGCCCGTCTCTGCATGTTCGTCACTGCCCGGATTCTGTCGAGCTAACACTGAGCACCATGGCCTGGTTGACATCCTTCGGACACCCTGCCGTCACTGTCCTTTGACAGCTGAGCAACATGGTTTGATGATAACTTTGGGACATCGCTCACATTAATGACCACACTCTGGATTTCTGGTTACCACAAATTGCCCACCGCTCCATCAAGAAGACCCATGGGGCACATGGGTCTTAAATGGGGCGATGGCACTCAGATCGACGGACTGGGCAGACTGGATGCAGCCGGAGTTTGGTCGGAGATGGTGGGAGTTTGGGGACTGGACACGTTTGTGTCCCTGTCCGGGGCCAGCCGAAGCTGCAACCCAAGCTGTCTTGATCACTGGCAACGGTGCTCTGATCGAAGGAAGAGCGGAGGCCGGGGCGATCGGAGGGGCGGCTCCGCGATCAGTGGGGCCGTTGTTTGGAGCCTGGCTCTTTGGCCGACGGTCGTTTTTGCCACGAATTCGTAGTGCAAAGTCCAATCTACCACACCGGGCTGGGTTTCCAGAAATCTCCAGGCTGGAGTAGGTGATGAGAAGATTGATGTAAAGATTGGAAGCGGCTAAGGCTTGAGGGCCATTTGAATTCCATGCACGCACGTCCTGCTCTGACACACGGGAGCTTTACTGACCAACAGTCATCAGGCGCGGCCGGTAGACTGCCGCCAACGAACGCGAATTGCCACGAGAAAGCCAATGAAAAGTCCGGTCGACCGAAGGTCAAAGCGTCAAAGAGTTAAAGAGAAAAACTCGAAGGAGCAAGACTCCACCAGTTGTAACTGCCGAAAGGAAACCTGCCCAGGCTCCCATGCCGGCAGAGCCCGGCATGCCATTTTTCATGTTCTACCAGCTTGGAGGCCACTAGACAGATATATGTCTCTTGTGGGCCGTCTGGATGTTCATTCAGCATGCTCATGATGTTTGCGGGTCGTGCATCCATGGGGAAAAGCTTGAACACCGGCTTCGGCTGAAAGATTCTTGCAGCACCGCATGCTTTCCTTGCAGTAGGCTACTCCCGAGTCGCCTGAATACCAAGTTTGGCCTTAGTGCAGAGGCCATTCGGTAGCTCCTGGCAAGAGAAGCACTCACTTGACGTGGCACTGCCATGTGTTTGTACCCAAACGATTTTGAAAAGCGCAAGGCTGAAATGGAAATCACAAGCCTGCAGAACATGATTGTTCCGTCTCTTGAACAGTTAGGGACTTACCTCCTAACTATCCTCGTACAAGCATTGTCCCCCACAAAACATATGTTGCAAAGGCTGAGGGTCTCATTTCAACTCCTGAAAATCCAGATGTTTATGCCGTCGGAGTGTGTGGAAAGCCCCCCTCACACCTGGTGTTGCGCCATTGCGCCCCTTTCAATGTTGATACTTGGCTGTCCATATGCAGGCCAAGGTCAACTCCGTTCAACGGTGAAATCCTTTGTTGACGGTGAACAAAAACCCGTCAGCGGAAAAAATAACGTGCTGGAACCCAGGACGGGGGCTCCGACCAGACCCCGCCCGGGAGACCACTTTCACCTGTCCACCCCGGCGGTTGAAGCATGTGACCATCTGGGTCCGATGAGTTGAAGCCACATCAACCACTTGGTGGTTAGTAAATCATCAATAAGCCAAATCAACGGCTCAAAAGAGACAAACCGTTTAAAACCAGCTCAATGAGAGATGCAAAACATCTTTTGGTTGTACCCTCTAAGGCCGAGTTTGCATCTCTGACAGTGGCTGTTAATGTTTGTTCCCCAACCGTCCCAACCGTCCCAAGCGACAGGGGTCTGGTTACCGTCCGTGTTCGACTTCGCTCCGCTCCATGTCCAACAACTCCACGATCGCGTCACGGAAGATGGCCACCCTGGAAGGTGTCACCTCCTGGTGACGACGAAGAAAATGGACCGGGGGCCGAGATGGGCGAAAGAAGAGGCCGACAGACGAGGCGTGTTTGGAGACCCAGCGGGCGTGGTTTGTTTTGTGGATTGGAAGTGCTGGCTGGCAAAGAGTGCTTTGGGATTGATTTGGGGGGGTCCTGAGCCTAACACACAAAACGTTTAAGGTTTAAAAAGCGTTTGAAGACAGAATGAAGAATAAATGAGGTCAGGTTACCTTTTTGAACTGTTGGTTTGGGGTTCCAGAAGTACATGTCAAAAATAAGTACACAACGACATGTCAAAACTGAATCCCAAAGTTGTGGAGACGAACTCATATGACTATTATGACTCATATCGAAATCGAACAAGATTTTGGCATGTGGATCTTAAAATGCCGTGATTAAATCAAATCTCAAGAAAAGGCCGCCCACATCTACAGAATCAGAAGCAAAGTGAAGAATGATGCAATTCCACCAAACTATGTGTATATATTTATATATATGCAGGCAGGATCAGGCAGGTTTGTTTAAGACCCCAATGCATTTGGCTGCTGTGTATATTCGCTTGGTTTTTACACGCTTTTGTGGCGCTCACTAAGGACATTTATGTGCGGTAGGGATGCGCCCCTGTCGCGCACTTTGTTCACATGTTCGCTGAATCACAGTGGAATTACAACACGTTGAAGATCGTAGAAGACACACGTATCTTGTAATTGTAGGATTCATCAACATTGTCAACCGATCGTGGTCACAGCATGGTCATCGATGAGCCGTGTGATGAGCCGGGGGGGGGGGGGGGGGGGGGTGGGGTAATCAATTTCACAACATTGTCATAGACATCTTAGACATCACAACATTGTCATCGATTAGTCGTATGAAACGAAGAAGGGCCCGAAATGTGATCGATTTCACAACAGTCATCGATTAGTCGATTTGAGCCGTGTCATTAAAGTCGGCTGGCCTATGCAGCAGCGGCTGAGTTTATGATTGGTTATGGGGTTCTGTGTGGCAATGTGCATTAGTGATAGATACGGACGCATGTATGTTAATGTCACTCATGGATCAACAAATAGATGCTAGGCCTAGCCTTGACCATGTTGACATATAGATATTCATGCCACTCATGGAACAAGACGCAAGTAGGTTTGGAAACCTGGGTGGGCCATGCTGTCCATGCGTGAAAGCCCCACGCTGGAGTTTCTTGGGCTTGTGTTGCTGTTGCAATGAAGAACACGAAGAGGGAAGATTGTGTTGAGCATGCTGTTCGAGCTCGGACCGCCGGAAACTCCGAATTAAGCATCGAGTCAGAGGTAGACGACGGGATACTTGGACCCCAACACATGTCTTCCTACCCTGGTGAACATGGAACATGACTCGACCCGAAGCTTCTAAAACAGCTACGACTGTACTTCTAAAACACGTAAAACAGCTACGACTCTACTCATTTTTTCTCTTTAAAAAATCATCTTCCCAAACCAAACAGAGACCTCACGTCGCCAGGTTTGAGGATTGCTTCCAAGCATTGGCTGTCAACGGGCACGCCCCGCCCAAACCTACAATCGATGCCTAACATCTGCATGGCGATCCAAACATCTGCATGGATCGCCCTGGATGAGGGGGGGTGAGATCCACCGTTTCTCGCCGTCCCGTGGAGCTACACAGTGCCGGTCCCGCTCGAGGTGCCGGAAGCCCACGGACTCCACCTGTGGCACCACAGGAAGCGTTCGTGCAGCTGTGTGCTTCGCGCGACCAGAAGTGTGCAGCGTTCCTTCAGGTGTGTCAACACAGAACACTCGCCAGGTGTCAGTCCGAAAGCAAAATGAAAGCGAAATGACTTGAACTCCAGAGGTGACTCTTATTGCGGCTACCCTAAAAACCCTCCAAAAATATGTGCAGAGGTTACCCCCATCACTAATTGTGTGGCCCAGCATTAGCCCCAAAAAGGCAAACAACATGTTCAAAGGGCCAAAAGATGTTTCTTGGCATCCCTTGGCCAATAGAATGGAGGATGTCTATCCAAGTATTATATATATATATATATGTATGTATACATGGCTCAAGAAAATCAGTATGGGTGGCATGGAGCATGTGAGGCAACGTTTAGCAAGCTTGGATAGACCAGGTTTAGCATCCGTCTGGAATCAGGGTTCTTTGTGTTCTTATGATTCCATTTCTTCTAGAGTCACTAGATTCATAAGAATATATAAGAACATCATTGAATCGATTGATTCAGATCCTCTTTGGAATGACCGGGTGACCTTGTCAGCCATCCAAACGCCGCCAGCCTCAAGCTTGAGGGCAGCTGGGTCATGAGCAACGCTCATCAGCGTCACAACTCCTGACAAGATTTGGACGCTCTCATCGTGGATGATTTCTCTCCCTCCAATGACGTATATGTCAAACATCAAAATGGAAATATACTAGGAAATCCCAAAAAGTCATCGTCATCTAATACATACAAATTATATATATACATGTATATGATATTTCCCTGAACATGGACTCTCAACTATATCGCCATGTTGGAGGCTCAGTCAGTCTTCAACTCTTGCTCCATGCCACAGCGTTGGATTTGCCACATCAAAACATAATTATAGACAACAAACCACTGAGACTCATCGAGACAGCATCAGATCATCCCGATGTTTTTGGAGGGCCAAGGCCCTGAGAATTGCTACAGGCATTGATCCCTGTAGACAGACTCTATTGATACAAATTCGTTTGAGACTGCCGTGGTGTTTCTTGTACGTCTCAATCATTGAAATGATGTGTCCAAACTAAGCTCAGTAAAAGCACAGTAAAGGCTTGACATCCAAAGTGCCAAAATGTTCACCAACATCTACTCCGCAGGAAGTAAATAAGATAAACTTAAACAAAACAAACACAAATGTCCTCAACATCATATAGAATCTGATTCCTGAAATCCTTGAATTCCGACCACCGTTTTTCTTTAGCTGTCAACGTATAAACCAATCTGAGGCTACCAGCCGTTCATAAACCGCATGGCCATCACCGACCTCCGGGTCAGACGACCGGGATTGAAAACCCAGGGTTTGACATGGAAAGCGCCTGAGGTTAAGGCTCCAAAGCCCAGAGCAAAAGGCACCAAAAGGCAGACTTGGAAAACAGGTCGCCATCACGTCACGTCAAAGGTGGGAAGATCACACCTGCTTTGCGTCATATTTGGAAGCCATTTGCCAAGCAGCGGGCACGGTTCTCATTTGCTGCGATCTCTAACATGGGAACATTATCCTGCCCCGGGATGGGTTTTGTTGGATGGGTGTTGTTTTACGATATCTCATGATCCATGTGGCAAAATCACTTTGCCGCAAAAAAACTACCTAAATTCGATCGTTTGCGGACCGTTCGCGGATCGTTCCTAAAAGCAAGCTCCAACAATAGCCCCAACGAAAAATGTGATCGTCAAAACACATCTATAGAATGAAAAAATATCATAAAGGTGTGAGTCCTCCCTTGTAAGAAATTGACTGTCTGGGTCATGCCAGTAAACTGTTACTGCTTTGACCGAGCTGTTTCGCGCTTATGACCCAGAGCTATTGATCGTTGTGTTGGAATCAGGAAATGTGAGGGTGACCACAGTCCAGTCATCGTTGAGCTACATTGAGTGTAGCTATCCTCAAAGTACCATGAAACAAACCGTACCAGCAGTACCAAGACTGTTCTTCTACTACAACATACCACAAAACAGCCACTCAGCCACTGAAACAATCTGAAACTTGAAATAGCCAAGCCCCACGGGATCGATATCGGATGAGTTTCCAGAAGAATAGGAGCTTCTCGGTATAGTAACTCATAACTGCCCAATACTGGCCATATGTATATCCATATGTCAAGTCTCAATTTCCGCATCTTCATATCAAAACCCCCCCTCTCAACCACTCTCCAGTGTGCCCTAGTGTGCCCACTTCAGAAGTCCCAGTCGGTCGCTCCGACTCACCAGGCCTGGGTGTCTTGAAGAAGGAGTGCAAGGAAGGAGCCGAATCAAAAATCGCGGCATAGATCGCCTCACCTCGGTCGCCGTCGCGGTCGCCGTCGCCGTTTTTCTCTCCATGTCGTCGACTGGTCGACATGACGTGTCGACTGACGTGGTCTGACGTAGACCATGTCCAGCTTCGGGCAGCCTCGGTCAGACCGAGCTCCATCTGTAAAAAGAAGGTGGCCAACGACGGAACGTCACCCAGATCGCCTGCAGCATCACGGTTGGACAAGCTGATAAAGTGGTTCAAGGCCTGGCGAGTTGGAAGACAAAGAATTCTGGTGAAATGGGACTTCTGTTGACGATTATTGACATCTGTCTGTGACATGTGTTTTTGGTCTGATCCACTTCCGCCACCTAGAGGGTTCTCTGTCTTGCAGCCCACTAGCAGTGATGCTAGAAGAAACCCATGTATCGGCCCCGGGTAGTTTTGTTTGCTTTTCCCGCAGAATACTCTGCGGCTTGTCTTTTCTCTGGGTTCCCTTCCACCACTCAAATCCCAATCCCAAGCTGGGATCCGTTGTGTTCTGCCCGGTGGCCTGCCGCGCTTCTTCTACGACCTCTAGGGGCAAACGCATCTCTTCCATGGCGTCCTCATGAACCTCCTGGCGCCGCGATGCGAGCGCGAAAGAACACCGGATCTGCGGATGCGGATCCTTTCGCTCCAAAACCACGAGCAACGTGGCAGGTTCTGCCGCTCTGCTTCCTTGAAATATGCAGATATTTGACCAGAGGTTAGGTGTAGCGGTGTAGCAATGTATACGTACTATACGTACATATCTGAGACATATCTACTCATGCATTCAAAGAATGCCTGTCAAACTCAGCAGGCCGAATCTAACTCATGATACTTTAACTGGGTTCAACCTAGCAAACGGGGTGCGGAAAGCCAAACAGAATCAAATGGTATGGTATGATCAGTGTATACAGGACCTATGGAGGAGTAATTATATAACTCTGTTTGGCAATAGACTGGTCCACTCACATGGCAGTTGATATAAACTCAAGAACACTCGAGAAGAAAAATACTATGACATAGGGTTCCTTTCATTCCTCATTTTGCGGCGTCGAATGAACAACTACTCATAAGAAGGCGTGGCTTCCTGTGGCTTCCATTTAGATTCCCTGGCTTCATCAAACCGCCATGGATGAATGCCTTCCATCGAACCCGCCAACACCCGCACGTGCCGTTTCACCGCCTGATACTTCTCGAGACCTCACCGGAGTTCCGGTTCAAACGGGAGGAGTTCCGGTGGTGCCGACGAGACGAGAAGCGGTAGAAAGCCGCGACTGGTCCGACTTCCCATCTGACTGGTGCGACTCGGAATATGGGAATGGATCCGGCCTACAGGGGTTCTCTTCGCCTCATTCCCGAGTCGCACGAGTCTGTCACTGTCCGGAATTTCACCGCGGGCAGCGTCCGGGCCAGTCGGGCACTCCGTCGAGATCGACTGCAGACGGCTCTGTTCGTCCACGACAGTCAGAGTGGAGAACGAGAGAACCCCCACGACAGTCCAAGACCGAAGCGGTCGAGACCGGGGGTTTCACGTGGTCTTAACGTTGAATATGGGTTAACGCCACCTCCACAGGAACTGTTTTGGAAGCTGATCGAGCTGCAGGGTGTCTGGACCATCAACCCTGCCCTTCGAAAACCCTTCGAAAACCCAATCTTTGCTGGTCAAATTGGACACGACTGGATTACTGACCGACCAATTCCATGGGGAGTCGGGCCTCGCCCCAAAACCGTCGTTTTTGTTCCCAGCGGCACTCATCATGGATCTCCTCCTCCTGCACCGGATGGACCGGAAGGACGGCACATGACGGCGAAATGACGTGTGGTGCATACCTCGGTCTTGCCAGAAAATGCACGCTTGTTAGAGACAACCTGACCCTTGTATGATATGTGTATATATATATACTGTTATGGTATGTTATTGTAATGTATGTGCTGTGGAAATCACATGCAATGACAAACAACCAATAATTGATGAACTGCATGGTATCCGTTGACCATGCATTCCATGTAGTGCAAACTTTGCCATCATCTTAGAACATTGAGAGGTCTGTCTCATCAAATGAACCCGAGCCAGATGTAGGACCTTGTGAAAATTTTGTCTGACTGTCTGACGCGACCTGGGGCCAGCTACATTTAATGAAGCTGGCCCCAGGTGTTCAAATTGATGTCAGTCTGGCAGCACACACACATGCTCGTCAAATCGCACCCTCCTAAAAAGAACTCCAAAATCATTTCACTACATTCAAAAGCCTGGGCCTGGGAACGTCCTCTCTTCCGACCCCTGGCCCTTTAGGTCGGTCAACGTCCCCAACGGTCGCCTCGGCTCCGGACACACCGACGGTTCCGCGGTCGGTCCGAGCGAAAACGGGTCGACTCGGACGAAGAAGCCTCCTGTGGCACGGCTTCTTCGAGACCTTCGACATCCTCCTGGCGATGTGTGTTAGAGAAAATCAAGAAAAGAACATCGGAAACCATGATGGATGTGGTTTTTTTTCCACTTTCTCTGTCTCTTACATATGGATGGTTGTCTTCCTCGCCAGGATGTTATTTGTTTGATGGTTTCTTTTTTTCTCTTCGTACTCCGGCGGCGAGAAGCAGGTGGAACAAGCGGTGTGTCCTCAAGGAGGGCGGAATGGAGCCACTCTCTTTTTGCTCTGTGGGTGTCCGTGGGTAACCATGTGCTACTAGTAACAAGGACGCTACTAGGTGGAGGCCATCGCTATTAGGTTGGAGGCAACTACCAGTAACAAGAGGCTACTGGTAACAAGAAGCTGGGTGTGTCCTCTCTTCTACTGGGATCCTTGGCTTCCCTGGCGCCGTATGGCAAAGATCCTGCATATCTCTGGTATCTGCCTGTATCTGCATGTCTCTCTATAGCATGCAAAAGAAAGCCTCCCTCCGCCGATCTCTCTGTCTCCCCTGTGCCTCTGAGGGTAACTCCTCATCAGGCAAATATTCTGTCTCCTGGGCGGTTGCATGTGTGGTATGGATCCGTGTCACGCATGAATCCGTGTCACACATGTGACAAATCCGTGTCGCAAATGTTCCCAGTTTCACCAGAACTCAAACGGCCAAAGGTCGTAAAAAGTGAAACAGTGACAAGCTTCTTTAGGGCCTCTGTATACTACACAATCCAGAACCAACATGTTGCGGTGAAGTGACACCAGCTTCAAAAGCATTCGACTCCTGAGTCGGTGTGTGTTTTTGTTGACTCACTCACTCACCCACCGGGATCAGCGACGAGCAGATAAGTACGGAAAAGAACGAAAGACATGGGACAGGGACAGGACAGTCCACTCCTTAGTCATGTAGACTCAACAAATTGATGCAAAATGTTCATCAAAAGTCTGCAGTTCGTGTCTAACTCCCAAAAACCCAACTCACCGTCGACTCCTCCTTCTCTTCAGAAGACGGTGACCGAGACGAAGACGGGCTCATACTCTCCCGCCGCATCGGACCTGAGCCGTGTTCGGTCACGGCGACACCGGGACAAGCCACGAAATCATGAGATGTATTATATATGCAAGTACGAACATGCAAGTGTGGTCCGCGAATCTCACAAAGCCCACTTCCACTGAAACCCACAAAGCAGCAATGATCCACTGGGGATGTCTGCTTTCGTCGCTCAGAAACTCGAGCACGTGCCCAGCAGATTGCTCTCTCCCCCCCGATCGGCCCCCCATCTCCGGCGATTCATGGCCACTAATGGCCACCACCGTCCCTGAAACAGGTGGCCTTTGTTTGGGTTCGGTGGGTGCCGTCCGGGCGCCATTGACTCGCCGCGCTCCGCTGGCACGCACGCTGGTTTGCTACGAACTTGCTACGATGTAGAGCTGTCAGGATGGTTGCACCGGGTGCCACGAACCGGGGAAGATGGAACCGGTGCTTACAAGGACCCCACTGGGTACTGGGTGGATTGCAAACAACAACTCCAAGCTTGACAAGCAGAAGACCATGTTGGAACTCTCTAAAGGTGTTTGAACTAACATGGACAGGGACAATTGTGCTGGATGGCTTGCAATATCTTGCGTTCTCCACAGCCGCAGAACGTGCAGGGCAAGGAGGGATCACCCGCACGCTGCTGGGTAACTCTCCCAGATGGCCAGGAGATACCGGGAGCCTCCTACCACCGACCGTCACCCCTACCATGACCGCCCCGATGGCGAACACGAAGAACCGAGGCCCCCACAAAGTGGGTCTCGAAGAGGGCAAAATCACGTGTGAAATTGGGGCCAGGTGCGGCTGTGGAGCCAGCGGCTGTCGAGAACGCTGTGTGAAGCGGGGGTGCAGCTTCTGCACCTGCTTGGTGTGTCTGTACCTAATGGGTGTGTCTGCAGACTGTGCTGAAGAAACCAACAAAAGACACCCAAAGAAACACTGTTCCTTACTTGTCAAGAAATACCTCAATTAATCTCAACTGCAGATTTGGCAATGGCCTAGGACACCTGTGTCGGTCTAGCACCTGAGCAGCTTTCCTAGAGTCTGTTCGGAGCTTTGAGTCTTTACCATGGTGGCTTTTGACTTTAAAACACATTTTTTAAGATGACATAGGCCTTAAACATGATGACTCGATGAATGAAAAAGACGCCTCGGGCTCCTTTGCCACCTTGAAACGGGTTCCCAATCAACTGTCAGTCAACCCCAAAGGCCGAATTCCAACAACTCAAAGCCTTTGAAGATGTATCCAGCTTTTCACGCCATGAAATATACGGTCTACCAGAACACAAAAAATACACCAGGGTGATCCAGGGTGTGCATCTTGAAGGTAGAAAGGACATCAAGTCTCGAGTAACTATTCCATCCTCAGCAAAAGGACACCATACAGATTTGGGGTTTGTGTTCCCATGTGTCCATCTCTCTTACAGCCTGGTACTTGAGAAGTAGGTACTTGAGAAGTAATGTTCACAACACTTGTGAACCCCTCTCGTGGTGGTCGCAATACCTGTTCTGTTGCTTAAGCCCCTACGTCCCTCATCGCCAGATGTAGAGAATTCTGAAACGTTGATGAGACCTTCCACAAAAATCCTCACAGGAGCTGTTCAATGAACAAGGACAAAGTTCCAGGAGTATAGTATAGGGTCGTAGAATGTCGTATTCAATGATCAGTCTCCATGTCGTCTTAAGACCTACCTACCCAACAACCTGCAAAATCCCCCAACAACCATTGCATCAGAGCCTTATGCCAAAGCAGTCGTCAACATGAGTGACTGGACCACATGAGTCGTCGAAATGAGTCGTCCCATGTCGTCCCCAGATTTTTAGGCACGCAGACGCGACCCTCTCAGTCCAGACGACGCACCACTCGCGCAGCTGCGCAAGCTGTCCCCCTTGGAGCCCCCCCGCGGTGCCTTGGAGTAGTGTGCATCTTGCAGCGACCTGAGGCCGCGATTCGGCGCAAGTCCAAGTTGCAAGTTGGACTGTAACCCAATCACCCCACACCAATTCGCTTTAGAACCTGCACGACCTGGTTTCCTCCGAAAATCGGCGCCCTGCAAAGCTTCGAGTGGTGCTGGTATCCACATCCCGACGCATCAGCTACCCGCCCAACGTGTGACCTGGTCACGGGCCTCTGAGGTGGTCTCATCAGCCATCGGCCATAACCTCCGGCTGAGGCGAACGAAGGGAGGCCTCCGATGAACATTTTAGAACGCTCAAAGATGCTCAAAGCAGTATATAGTATATAGGCTTTCCACTCACTCCAAGGGTGAGAAAGAAGACTTCCGGCCATCTTTGTTGAGCCATACTCAGATCATTGGGGGAGTCTCAGATCATTGGGGGAGTAGCTGCCAGCAGGTCTGAACGAAGTCTCGTTTCATGCTCCGCGAAGCACCCCTGCGGCCCATCTCTTAGAGTTTGTCTGGTGGCATGGAATGAGATCGCGGAGCATCTGACACACTCCGCCCATCTACTTGGCATCTCGTGAGCGTTTCCGCCCTCGTTGTCCAGGGTGTATACTCTAGCGGTAAAGTCTATACTTTCTCTAAGCTCCTCAGCACCCGCGGCTTCGCAAAAGCTCGGTCTGTCTTAAGTCATTCCTCTCGGTCGTTGCCACGGTTGGCCACCGACGCATTTGCGATCCAAGCTTCAAGAGGACTGATTGAAACTATCACGACCGGCCGAAGAATTGCCGTTTTCCTAGGCAAATGAAAGGCCACAACCACCATGTCAGCTTCTTTCCATGTCCAATTCTCTTCGCCCAGCTATACAGTGAAAACGTTAGACACTTCTTTCTGCTCCCTTTTTAACCTTTGCGCATGCAAGACGGGTACTTGAAGACACTTGAACGACTCAACCCTCACTGTAACATCTAATGCTCGAAGATGCCTGGTCTGCTGGCCTACCAAGTGAGTTGTGGCATTGACTTCTATGCAGTGCTCTCAGTTTCCTACTTTCCTTGACAGGAGTTCTATCTCTGAAGTCTTTCATATACTTGCTTCATCACCGCAGAAAGAGCGAATTCATGATACTGTTGGATGAAGCAACTATGTGGCCTGATCTATGCCGATTGATTCGAGCAGGCTCGTCGTCCAATTGGTGGCCACGGGCCTTGCAGCTCCGCAAGACCTGGGCCGCGACCTGGTCCTTCCCAAAGTGGCCGGTTGGTCGGTCAGTCGAAGGGTCCACCCGACTGGGAACACGCGAAAACGGTGCCGGGTTTTCACGGCCGGTACGCCCGGTGAAATCAGTCTCTCACACACTACTATCATCCGGGGCATGAAGGTAACACAAAATAGGATAAACACATGACCCCGCTCCTCAATAGAGGATCAAATAGACTAAACTCTGCGGTCCCTCAGGTTTTTCATTTGTCCCTAGAAAGCTGTTTTTGGGGCGCTTCACTACTGCCCGACGAACCGCAACTATGGACTGGACGAAAACGTTGCTCCGTGTCCGGGTCCCCTTTGTTGCTTCCGGTTTAGAAGCCCAAAGGGGCACTCCTCAGATCTGTGTGAATGCGAGGCAAGTCGTGGACAATCATCCAATGTTGTGAGGTGCAATTCATCTCGACATGCTTATGCATGGAGGTATGTGCTGCATCTTGAAGTGAAAGTGCAACAACATTCTATCTGCATATATCTGCATGTTTCAGAGGACTAAGTCATACTACGTCTCTATCTCAAAAGGGAAGATAGACAACCACCCAGTACCTAAGCGGTGCCTGTTTCAAGACATCCCGGCAGGGCGGAATCTGGGCGTTTCCTGCTGCAGACTGGTCGCAGAACCTCAACTTCACCAGGTCTTTTAGTTTGTAGTAACTTTTTGCGGCACCTTGAACTCCCCCCCTACAACCCTTTCTTTGAAGAGAAATCAGAACTTCGTGTCGCCGGGGTGTCTGACATTCATGCTACGGGATGGGACATACTTCTTGAAAGACCCAGTGAGATGTTGAGAGTCGGTAATGGCCCATAATTGAAAAGACCACAGTTTGTACCCCCACAACAACGCCGTGAGATAGGATGACAAATAAGATGCGTGTGTGTTTACATATCATATGATACGGTGCACAAACAAATTAAAGACATTAGATTCAAACTTAAATTTATAATCTGTGCTCATCCTGTGATTGGAAACTGTATCTGTCCTTGGGTTCGAGTAAGAATGAGAGAAGGCGCATCTGTCCGAAATGGGGCTTCTTTGTGATGAAGCACAGACTGAGAAGTGATTGGAGCACTAAACCTTTGCACAACTGTCAACTCTGTACGCTAGTGCACAACTGCAACCGAGTAGATGCCACACGATCGTTGCAACATGGATCGTTGCACGTGCAGAATGCAAGGTCCGTGACTTCCTGAGCCACTCTGATTGGTAAATGGAAGGTGAAAAATCAGGACACCTGGGAGCTTCATGTGGATGGTTTGGGGGTACGACAGATCCACCTCTGGGCCATGGCTAGCAGTGGCATGATACCTCGAGGTGTTCTGAAATTTCTAAAGGACACCAAGATAGGCTCCCCTATCTTTACCCAGACTGGTGACTTGTCAAAATCTGGGGACCTGGGTGTCAAGATCTGGTGGGGGGGCACATGGTGATCCCGATACAGGTCACAATCAACCTGCGCAAAGTGCGTCCAAAGAGATAAAAAGAGTCCCTCAGGTAGGCGAGTGAATGCTGAAGAAAGGAGTGGGAAGATTATTGGCCCCGGTAGGATGGTGTTTGGGAGTTCCGAACCAGTCGTGCCCCATTCAGGAAGACATGGCATGGCCTCTACTCAGAAGCAAAGGCGTTTGATCAAGTCTTGCCTTGCTGCTTGTAAACTGTGCTGCAGGAGTCTTGTCCTCAGTCCTCTGATCTATCTGTGCATTGCAAGCAGGCCCCCTGCTCCGGCCATTGCGCATTGGATGTTTTTTTGCTGGTACATCATAATATGACCTCCCAAAACAAACCGAATGGACCAATTTGGGTTTGGGGAACTGTTTGTCTTGGGGTATCGAAATTCATCGAATGTCTCTGCAGAATGGGTCGCTACAAACCGAAACGCACATGGACGAACATGTATTGCTATACATTGGGTCCCATTACCAGTACTGTAACAGTAGATGATGGTTCAGTTGCAGGCCTTTCTCTACAATAGTAAATTTGTTTACTGACAGGTTATGGGACAGACCCAAACTGTAGATTTCAAAAACAATGCGCACTGCTTAAGAATCCTCAGGGAGATGACAAGAGAGTCAGACCGAAACGCCAACGCAGACACGCCAGCAAAACGGAACAAAACGGACCCACGACGGAAACACGGGTGCATAGTTCTGGGTAGTGGCCAACAGCTCAGTGGCCAACAGCCGGAGCGCCAATCTGCTCACCACGCCGCTGACCACAGCTGAGAGCCGAACAAACATCTTACCCATCACAGCTCGCCGTCTGGTTGGACTATCCGTGACTATCCACGGAGAACGAGCCGCGAACGATGCGCTGAAAAATAAACCCTCACCTGTGTTTACCTTTGCAGAGATTGCTTCAGCTCAACTTCCCAATTTCAGGTGGTTTAAAAATGTTCAAACATTCTTTTTGGTCTCTGATTGTCCCTGCGACCGAATTGACATTCCACACACATACAAAAACACACACACTCTTCCAATAGAAGCCTGCATGTCATGATTGCCCATCTAATGTTGCCCACATGTCATGCCTGTCCTGTTTCTCCTCGGAGCAGAACTGTTTCGGTTTCAGCTGGGCAAACTCAGAGTCAGAGTCTTCTGTGCAGCGTCAGAGTGACTTGGCCAAACTGCTGGGCACTTCAGATCGACTTGGAAGGCCTCATCAAGGCTCAGGGCGACAGCTGACGGAAGGGGAGGATTCAGACAGGTGCAGATCTGAAGCCTTTTCAGCCCTGTTCATGTTGGAACTCCATGTCCACAGAGGTCTACCTTGGCTTTTTATTCCACACATCAATGTTCTCCACCTTAAGTGCCAATTACGACTCGGAAGCCGGAGTTTACTCAGGTAGGAACTCTGAGAATGTACTCGCAATAAGCCTGTCTTATCATTGAATACTCCAACCCATCCCTCACAGGTGAAGGGATGAAGAATAAATCTGGACATATCTGGACCAGCTCATGACTTGTGTGTGCAAAAGCACGTGGCCACCTCAACCAACTTCCATCATGTCCCCCATCGCCTCTGGGCAGTGGGGTAATCTTCAAGCCTGGCACCGGCTTGGCTGAAAGGTCTCCCAAAACACCAGAAGTTTGCTCAATCTTGAAATCTTACGTCTAGAAACCACTATTTGGATCAATGATCAGACACAAATGCACCTTTGCAGGTTTTCTGGAAATGGCACAAAAAATCCGAAGAGTCAGCCATCTGTCATCAGCCTAAGGCGTCAGTCAGGCGGACCTGTCATTCAGTCAGGCGAGCTCGATCTCCCATGGCACCTGTGTCTGTCTCCTCCGGCATCTTGTGTATCTTTATCTCCACGGGCTCCTCCGCCTGTTGAGACCGCCACACGCGGGAGAGGGCGGACCTGTCCCCAAGAAAGTCCAAGCAAAGGGGTCCATGTGTGCAACATATGGAGTCTATGCAACAGATTGATCCAATTCTCTCAGGTTTACCAGTTTTGAAGACATCTAAGAAGTGCGGAGAAACCGTGACACGATAGACATGTCAGGCCGAGTATGTGAATGCGAGGTTGCTTTGATGTTTTTTTTGGCGCCTCCATCCACACTGCCCTCGGTAAAAAAAACACACACCTCCAGGGTCTATATAAGTTTTTAATGGCCTCTCGGGCTCTTGGTTTGTTTGGAGAAATAGATGATACATACAAAATGAAAAACACACCCCAAACGTTGGAAGTAAACGCACTTGCGAAACTTGCGAAACACCGGATTCTCGCCTCCTCGGCTCGAGTAATCAGGAGTGAATAACCCATGGTTTGGAAGTCGCAGTTGTATCCAAATCCCCGTAATTAGTTGGGAACATTTGGACAGAAACAAAATGACTGGTTGTGACTGGTTGGGGGGTTGATAAGGTTCGATGTGACTATGGTTAGTCAGAATATCAAACAATTCTTGGGAAGGTTGAACTGCATGCACCGAACGTATGCTCTCTCGATACGCGCTCTCTCGATCGGTGCAGGTTGAGCCTTCTCAATGGTCGGCGGCTGGACCTCTGGTCACAAGGGCGCAGATCAAGACTTGGAAAACGGTGGGTCCCCCTGATCTGGCAACCTCTACCGACCCAAGATTTAGGGGTGCCAAGATGTACTCAGGCTGTTTACTGTGTCTGCGACTGATATCTTGACACGTGTAGGTAGGTAGGTAGGTAGGGTAGGGTAGGGTAGGGTAGGGTAGGGTACGGTGAGGTGAGGTGAGGTGAGGTGAGGTTAGGTTAGGTAGGTGGTGGGTAGATAGGTACGTAGGTAGGTAGATAGGTAGGTAGATAGGTAGGCAGGGATGTAGGAAGGCAAAAAAGGTAGGGAGGTAGATGGGTAGCTTTCTAGGTAGATAAGTACCTGGGTAGGTAGGTACCTACATAGGTAGGTATCTAGGTAGGTATCTAGGTAGGTAGGTATCTAAATAGGTAGGTAGGTAGGTAGGTATCTAGGTAAGTAGGTATGTAGGTCCGGTAGGTATCTAGGTAGCTAGGTATCTAGGTAGGTAGGTAGGCAGGTAGGTAGGCAGGCAGGCAGGTAGGTAGGTAGGTAGGTGGTACACGTGCCATAGATGGCCGTGGTGTTTTGGCTATTTTACATCAGTGGTTGTATTATCTATGCGCAGGGCCATTGGTGAGAATTGGAAGGTCTGAACTGCGGCTCCTGGCTGGGAAGAAGCAAGAATTGTTTAGAACACCTCCGAATCACGGTTCAACAGTATACACCTGAACAACCCCGCAAACTAACGAGACCTTGGCCATTTTTCAGGTCTTCAGGAGTCGCCCAAGTTCAGTCAAAAACTCAGTCAGCGTTTTGCCGAACATCTGCTGACGCCACATCCACTGAAAGCATTTTTGCTCCAGTATCGGATTCAACAACGTGTGTCCGTTCCCTTTTTTGGTCATCGATCCCGGACATAGGTGACAAGAACTCTTTCAAAGACCTCCAAGTTCTATCACGGGTTTGGGTACGTCAACAGGGCTCACCCACGTTCCGTGGTTCAGCGGGCACAGTACGCGTGAACTGCTTCACCTGGTGTCACCTGTTTGACCGGCATGCCCGTCTATTGCACTCGCCCCACCATGCTCGATTGCCATCAGCAAAAACGCATGTCTTTGTCGTGGACACACGGGCCCTGACTTCCATGGGTGTAGGCGGTCTCCTGAAAAATGTTCAGTGATATATGGCAAAAACAAACGAGGCGTCTGTGGAGAAATGTCCATGGACTTCCATGGAGGCGACTGAAAAGCAAAAATTTACACAAGTTGAATCTTTCAAGGCTCGATCCCTTCAGGGACAAGAGCGGCTCGGCGAAGTGGACGCAGGCATTGCCACCCCGTTGCTGCAAGCACAGCACCACGCAATGGTAGACATTCTGCGCGCTCTTTTTGGGGATCTCACAGGCCGCCACCTGTCTAGAGTTGTGTGGGTTGCCACTACTGACATGAAATGAGTCATAAGAAAAGTAGCGTCCGCTGTTTCCCCTTGAAGCGCATGACATGCGATAGCCTTTCTCCTTCTTGCGCTTCCAGAATCCGCATCGCACCAAGGAAATGCGCCACGCAATGATGACCCACCTGCCAGGCTTGTACGAAGTCTTGAACTCTCGGGCACATGTTCAGACTGGCGTAGAGTCACAGCGTCACTTCCACAACGAAGACCGCAGAAAATACTCATGTTAACTAGGCCACATTGACGACCGCACTTGAGACAGCCCCAATGAGGCGGTCGCTGATCTGCGGGCCACAGCAATCAGATAGAGACTGGCCTCGGCATTGCTGGCATGGTTCCGGAATCCAGTTGTACTCTATCAGCCACTCAGCCGCGCTCTGGTCATTCAGATCAGGATCCTGGGTCATTGTTCCGTAAAGCATAAAACACTACAGCGCTCACGGTCCTTGAACGATACCGTTGCTTGCCGTAAGACAAAAGAAGAAACTCATGACATCTGCGAAAGGCCAGTCCTCCAAACAAGACGACAAATGTCGTCTGGCTTCTGCTGCATTAGCTCGTCTAGTGGCTGCTTTGCCTGTATAAACTTTGAAAGCTGCAGCGGCATAGCTCTTGCTTGACCGCTCGGACTTGCGTGTTTTGTGTTCCTTGCAAAGAACTGCATTCTTCCGTCGTCCCCTGTCAGTGTCCGAACGTGCTTTCGGAGAGAGTGAATAACCTTGGCAACTCTGTCGGCGCACGTCCCGAATCTGTGACTGGAAGACCCACAAGCAGCACAAAGCTTTGTGGACATATATGGTGCTGCGATCTCTGCGCCGGTCTCTTCATGGCTCTGACGTGGAGCTTTCCAAGCTTGCTGAATACTGGCATGGGTGCGCCTGTATTGTCTCCTATGCAGTCATGTGGTTCAGTATTCTTTTTCATGTCCTTCTGTTCCAAACCATTGAAATGAATCGGCATTGTTTTTTGTTATTTATGTCGGTGTTAGGGTATGTCTCCGCGCGCTCCCCTGCAGGAGACTTGTGGAGCCCAAAACATCAACCGTTGTTCATGTGAAATCAGATCACCGAACTTCAGTCTCCATGTCCCACAGCTGTCTACCAAAAACACCAACTGTGGCCTACAGATTTCTTTCCTGACTCTTCCATTCTCACAGTTCTCTGCGCGAAGTTTCTTTTGCTGTCTTCTCATATGTTTGTCAGCTCTGACCAGGTGGTGTATTTAAGTGGATCCAGTGGATCCCAGTCCAGCTTGCATCAAAAAGAAAACCTCAGTCTTAAAATTTCCAAGACGAGTGCGAAAATCACGTCTAATTTCTTGTGGGACTCTCACTTCTCGAAAAGCTTGAGATCCACGGAGTACACTGCGCAGCAGAGTGGTCCCAGAGTACTCGAATTGAAGAAGACGCCAATCCCGGAAGACGAAGTAGTCGTGGTACTTGAAGAAGACGCCAAGACACATAGCCGGGAAGACAAAGTAGTCGTCGTACTTGAAGAAGATGCCAAGTCACATATCCGGGAAGACGAAGTAGTCATGGTACTTGAAGAAGACGCTGAGACACCAAGTCACATAGCCGGGAAGACGAAGTAGTAGTGTTATGACATAAAGCTGCCTGCTATGTCTATAAACTCCTAAAATACTTATTTTAGGAAAAACATAGAAATAAAATAGGATCAAAATTGGAACTGAAAATAGGAAAAAAGACACACAAAGAGGAATGATTCTCAAAAATAGAAAAGAAAAGAACTGGATTTAGAAATAGGAATGGAAAAAAGGAAAAAAGATGGAGCCCACGAACCCGAATGCAAACACGTTCGAAAAGCTACATTGTGGGACACTCTTGCGGGACACTCTTGTGGGACACTCTTGTAGGACACTCTTGTGGGACACTCTTGTGGGACACTCCTGTGGGACACTCATTTGGGACACTCTTGTGGTACACTCTTGTAGGACACTCTTGTGGGACACTCTTGTGGGACACTCTTATAGGACACTCTTGTAGGAAACTCTTGTGGGATACTCTTGTAGGACACTCTTGTGGGACACTCTTGTAGGACACTCTTGTGGGACACTCTTGTAGGGCACTCTTGTGGGACACTCTAGTGGGACACTCTTATAGGACACTCTTGTGGGACACTCTTAACTCTTGTGAGACACTCTTGTGGGACACGGTTGCGGGACACTCTTGTGGGACACTTTTGTGGGACACTCTTGTGGGACACTCATACGGGACACTCTTGTGGGACACTCTTGTAGGACACTCTTGTGGGACACTCTTGTGGGACACTCTTGTGGGACACCCTTGTAGGAAACTCTTGTGGGATACTCTTGTAGGACACTCTTGTGGGACACTCTTGTAGGACACTCTTGTGGGACACTCCTGTAGGGCACACTCTTCGTAGGAGACTTCCTCCAAAAGTCACGCTGCGAGGCTGCAAGACGAGCGTTTCGTACGAGACTTCCTCCACAAGTCACGCGTCAAGTCTCAAAAACGAGCGTTTCGTACGAGACTTCCTCCAAAAGTCACACGTCAAGTCTCCAAAACGAGCGTTTCGTACGAGACTTCCTCCAAAAGTCACGCGTCAAGTCTCCAAAACGAGCGTTTCGTGCGAGACTTCCTCAAAAACTCACATGTCAAAGTCTGCCAAACGAGGATTTCGTACGAGACTTCCTCCAAAAGTCCAGCGGCAGCACCCATCAGAGCACACACATCATGCAACCCTGCCAAGCAGTTTCGCGATTCCAGTCCCTCCAAACGACACCCGCTCAAACGCCAATCCCAATGTGACAGCGACATTCACCTCTACCACAACTCACAACCTCCCGATTCCCTGCACCGGCCACGAATCTTTCCGCGTCCACACATCTAACGCGCACAAAGTACTGCGCCTGTCACGAAATGTCACCTCCGTCACACATCGCAACCTCACGATTCCCTTTAATTTCCCTTGAAAAAATAGAAATTCCTTTCATTTTCCTTTAAAGAATAGTTAATTCCTTTCATTTTCCCTTGAAAAAATATAAATGCCTTTCATTTTCCTTTAAAGAAAATAGATTCCTTTCATTTTCCTTGTAAAATTCTAAATTCTTTTCATTTTCCTTTAAAAAAGAAATCCTTTCACTTTCCTTCAAAAATTGTTTATTTCCTTTCATTTCCTTTAAACATTAATAAATTCCTTTAATGTTCTATTTTGTATTTTTTTTAAAGAATCATATGTTTCCTATTTTTTGGGCGGGCCTGAAAATCGTCCTATTTTTCATAGTTTTTCCTATTTTCTCTTTTTCCCTATTTTTTTACTATGTTTAATTTTAAAAAATGAAAAAATAAGAATTAAAAATAGTAAAAAATCGGACAATTTTCCACCCCAAAAAAATAGCAAAACAATATGAATTTAAAACGTAGGAGTTAAAACAAATTAAGTAGAAAATGAAAGGAATTAGTTTTTAAAATGAAAATGAAATAAATTTGTCATTTTTTGAATTGAAAATGACAGGAGGTTATCATGTTTAAAGGAAAATTAAAGGAATTTCTATCTTTAAAGGGAAATTAAAAGAATCTTTACTTTTTAAACGGAAAATTGATATTTTTTAATTGCTTAAAGGAAAATGAAAGGAAGTAATCAATTTTTCAAGGAAAATGAAAGGACATAATTAGATCTAATCTAATCTCATCATTCCAATCGAATGCCGGCCTGCACTGCTATTAAATATCAAGTTTCATCCACTTGTGTCTGACCATGCGTCTGATCGGAATGAGCCACCTGCCTTCCGGTAAATCTGAAATATTCGATCCTATTTGTTTCCTATTTCATGTTTGTTCTTGTTTTCTGCCCTATTTTATTCTTATTTTGGTGTCCTACTATAATCTTTTATTCCAAAAAATTAATATTTTTCAAAACAATAGAGGTAGCAACAGTTTTTTTGATAATAGTACTGGTACTTGGTAGAGGCGGTCATGGAGATATCATATCCAGAATTTACAAGAAGAAGCTATATAAATATAGAGGTATATTATAGATATGTATGACCAGGGATAGCTTGCCTGATTTTTTTTCGAGCGTAGCGAAGTATCTGGTCGTCCGATGCACACACTCTCTCAGCGTGTACAGTTCTTGCAGACTGGGTCGAAAGACTGCACCGTGCTTCGACGAACAACATTTCGAATGTCCTGAAAATCTTTTCTCACGCCTTCAGGCAATTCGGAAAATGCAATGGGAAATGGCGTCTGACACCAACAACCTCGTCTGCCATCAGGCAACTGCTTCAAGAAACCCCGGCACACGAGAACTAAGTGCCCTTGCTTTTGGCCACGTCCAAAAAATCCTAAACATTCGGCTCAAGTTGCACCGCTGCCTCTCAGTATCCAACCCTTGCCACTGGCCCCACTTGAAAGCTCTTGTCTTTTGAGTATGAGATGCATCGGCCACGCTGCAGGAAGCCACTGTCGTGGGAGGTGCATCGGGCGCCACAGAGGCAGACTGGCAGCTTTGTTGCCTCGACGTCAAGAAAGTCTTGCAAGCAAATGCCCCTATTTGTGAGCAAGCACCAACTCACAAAATTTATAACGGCATCAATCACTCTCCGTCAAGTTGCCTCCATACTTCTGTAGGCACCGAGTGTCGATAGAGATGTTCAATCTTCTTCCTGAGGTGGTGTGGAGATTCGTTCCCATCAGTTGCGCTTAACTCTGAGTCCTCATCGCTCCGGTCAGCCCCAGCAGGAGTGTCGTGAACGGAATGTTGATCCGATTGCAAGCAGAAACTCCCATAGAAAGTACTTTCTAAGACCATGCGCGCACACGATATCTAAACGATCGACCGCGTACACAAAGTCGACAGAGCCAAGAATGTGTGGAAAAAGCAAATGCTTCACAAGCCTCGTGAGAGACCTCTTCACTTTCGTTCTCCAATTGCGCAGAGCACCGATCCGGGCACTGATACTGGAGCAATTCAGTGCTCGAAACCTCACACACTTCACAGGTGAAGACACCTCCTGGATCGACGCGGGAAAAGGAAAGCCAGCTAAGAATAATAGTTGCCTCCAACACCCGCCGGCGTCAGACAAAAGATGAAGCTCATTACATCTCCGAATGGAATGCCAGAACTAATGCCAGACACCAGTCCGTGGCACTAGCTCGTCAACAACGATCAGAGTCCAAGACCGTGGTATGAACGAAGCTCACCAAGGGGTCTCCGCAATGTCGAGTCAAACCAACATCTATGTATTGGTCTAAGGTAAACACGTTCACCCGCCACAATGACTGTAAACAAGAAAAACACGAAGGACAAGACACACCAACCAACCGAAACAACGACACTAAAACACAAACGGTCGCAACTTCTTGGACCTCTGGACGGAACGAGTGTCGGCAGCAAACGAACTGTGCGAGTCACCCATACCGTGAGAGGTTCGTATAGCAACATCAAAGAAACCCTGACCATGTCTGTGAAGTACGAATGTGTCTGCGCTACATCAACACTCCAACACATCATGAGATCCCCACCCCCCCACCTCCCCACCCAACCCCCCATGTGTGTATGTCTGTGACGACACGTTGAAGCAAATGGGCGTTACTGAAGCGAAAACGACGTTTAATTTATTAAAAAAATGCACCAAACACCACGGCCATCTATGGCACGTGCTCCGGGTAGGTAGGTAGGTAGGGAGGGAGGGAGGCAGGCAGGCAGGCAGGCAAAGGTAGGAAGATGGATGGATGGATGGATGGATGGATGGATGGATACAGACAGGACAGGACAGGACAGGACAGGACAGGACAGGACAGGACAGGA